GAACAAAACACGTACACATAAGGAGTCCACATTAGTAGTTTCGTGTTCAAAGTTCCATCTTGATGTGGCTGAATATCAACTTCAGATTGCACAATCGAAAATGTTTATTATCGATAACAGAGACAGTTCAACCATGCCTTTGATTTAATACACCACATGTATAATTCTCAAAAACTAACATACCGTCGGTGTCTGTAAGCTCCTCCCGTATATTTTCTGGTATGTTTTCTGTGGATGTTAAAATGCTGTGGTTAATACGCTTGCAACAAAAGTTCTCTTAGAAAACACACAGGCAAAGTGCATGCGCAAATTTATTAACAAATTAGTATGACGCGGTTTATTGTATGAAGTGGCCATAATTTGGAGCAAGTGAGCCTTGCGGTTGTGGGGGTCAAAATCTGGATTTTCAGAGCTGTCGTAATTTATGGTTTGTTTATTCAGATTCTCAGTTTTCCGATTTGATACCTCGAATGTGTAAAAACCCTCGGAATTTCCCGTCCCCAATAAGCGGACGTATCCACATTAACGTGATTTCTGACACGAATTCAAGGGAACCGATCTGAATAAAAGCTAGATGTGTGTGGTAGGAAATAAATTGTTGGTTTTCAACAAACACTCCACACCGAGGATGTCGCAGCATCAATGAAAAAAGTGAACATAACCCTTTGGTTGCGAATTTGTTTCCCTTATTTAAAAAGCTTATTAAATTTTCTGCCTTTGTTTCAGTATAGTGTGCATAAAATTTTCAACTTTGTACATTATATCAGCTATACTCAGGACATCATCACACGTATACCATCTGAACAAGAAAATACATAATTCCGCTTCAAACTGCGAAGCTTTCTTTTTGGTGTCTAGCAGTGTATATGAACCACCATTGCTACATGGTATTCACTCGTCAAATAGGTCTAAATACCAATCCGAATCTTTACCAATCTGCACACTAATCCGTTCTTTTACACTGGCTGTTTGTGAGCTCTTCGAATAAACTTCTATTCTTTGTGGCATGCCTCACTGTTTGAGATTTTAATTTTTAATACCAGAAATGTGTGCATCTTGCAAATAAAGCACGTCCATTTACACTTGCACACGAAGCACGCGTCATAACGTTCAACGGCTCAACAACAACTGGCTAAATTTCAAGTGAAATATCCACTTTCCGTCATCTTTCAAGCATTCCGGATGATTCAAAAAAATTATTGTGCTAATTTGTTTCAAATTTTCACCATTTAACCGATGCATCCGCTTAATTTGAGTAATATTTGAAAGACCAACACATTAGGACATGATAGCCTAAATATCACCACATGCAAATGACAGATTTCACGAACACCTACCGTGAACCTTGCCGGTGAGCGGTTGAAGGAAGACACAGTATACTGGATGTGGTTTCAGCTCTAGCGTCATCTCAACTAAACCGGTATGATATTTGGGACTGTTTATAATTTTCACACTGTAAACTTCAGATAGGCCTTTTGGAGGATATACTTAAGACACACGTGCGCAAAAAACACCCACAGAGTTTCATCACAGAGTTTCAACATATGATGGCTAACCAATCATTTATTGCGTCGGAAGGAGGGTTAACAAGGTGATTACAGTGGAAAAGTGAACGCACCAGTTACGTGCACATTTGAGTGCGCACTGGTGGTATGCCCTCGCAACCAAGCCAATCGACACACTCAGCCAACAGATCCTGATCAGCG